GTGACAGCACAATTTTGGGATGGACAGATCCTTGAGAAAGGTGATAACCTGGCTCCATTAATGGAGACACAAGTCACCAGCCCCATACAATTGAGAACTAGGTAGAAATTGTCATCTGACATCTCAAAATGTTTGACAGCCTCCAGCCTCTAGTGTGTTGCTAACCTCTTCAGCATGGTTCAGGCCACAACTCTATGGTCTGTTTAGAACATGCACTCTGCTATCTAGAAGATGCTGGCACCATAGTTCATCCACTTCTCTAACAGAGCTGCTTATAGCTGGATTTGCTCTTACTGGCTTTCCTAACTGCATCAGGTCCGTTCCTGGCACACATGTCCATATCTGACAAGATATGTGTGCACACACTATTTGGATGTTTACAATGTTTAAAATGTTGGGGGGTTTTTGGTTTAGAACCAAATTAACAAATTGTCCCTTACATTACTATATATTTAGACACTGGTGCCCTACTCCTACCCTATATTCCTGTGCTGGAAGTAGTTCAACAAGACTTTCCTTACAAGGAATCTCTGATGACTGTGGTGTTCAGAAGGCTGTGTCAGAGGCAGCACTGGGATGTAGGAGGTCAGTACTTGACCTTAAGGGGTCCCAGCCAAGGGGATCAGGATTGAGAAAGTTAAGGGAAGCTGCTGCCCCCTAATCAGTTATGGAAATGCAAAAAAAAAAAAATGCCATTTTTTCTCCCCTAACCTCCATCAGTACCTGGAGAGGTAACCCATTGCCCCACCCTAGTCATGTCACTGCTCTGGTACCACCATGTCTTCCATCTGTGCTCAAGGCCTATCAGGTTTCAGCAAGCAACCAAGAAAGTTCTTGATGGCAGAGCAGAGGGCAGATCTAGTCTTGCCCCAACTGGTCTACAGCAGACACAATGGACATAGCTGCACTTCTTCATTTGCCATTCAAACCAGTTATAAATGCTTTCTATCCAACACCACATTGCAAACAGAGGGTACAACACAATGTGCGTATTGTAAAATTTAGAATGATATGAGTAAAACCTCAAATTAAACATGCCAGGGGCAAAAGGTGACCATCCAAACACAGGCTCCCAACACCTTCATCCAACATTGATTTGTAATCTCGCCATAAATTTCCTTGACCTCTTCATTAAAATGATTAAGAATCAACCCAACATTGTTCTGTTTATTTACACAGCATGCAATTAACCTTCATCTAGTGGTAAACTTAAAGGAAATTTGAACTATCTTGACTGATGCTTAATTGGTTTGCTCTAAGTTAGTAGACTAATTGATGGAAATGGCCATGACTCCTACTACTAAAACCTTGTGGACCTGCCCATCAATTGTGAGGCTTTCAGTGGGTGCACTACTGCACCTGGTAACAGCTTGTACTCTCTCAGTCTCTTTCCTTTCTGTCACTGTTAAAAATTCACCACCTTGTTGATTGAACAAATGAAAACACATTCGATCCTTCCCTACATAAAATACTCATTGTGACACATGATAATTTCTGAGTAGAGCACACACCTGCTGATGCATCCAGCACAAGCTGAACAGGCTGG